CAGTAGCATCAACTGGTCTTAAGCTTGCCTGTCTTCTTCTACATCCAGCCCTCAAAGTCCAAATCCACACTCTTGGTGAAGCCTCCTCCTTGCAGCCACTCCCAACCTTCCTTAAAATCTGGTAGTTAGGACAACTGATTTGGCTCCAGTTGCAAACTGACTGGGCTTTTTCCCTTGTGTATATCTTGCCTTCCCAACCACATGGGGGCCCTCACACACCAGGAAGTGAGTATTCTTTTGTATTCTCCACAGTTGTCACAGCATAGTATGTATGCAGAGTATGCAGAGAGAGTCTCATATGTATTTGCTCAGGGGTTGTATGACAATATCATTTCAAAAGCCTTTTGGGTAGAGTACGAGCTCTTCATTGATGAACAAGCTTGACAAAAATGAGGGAAACTCATGAGTATGTAGTGCCCTTTCCATTTCCCCCCTCCACAGTGGGTACCCTGTCCTCATGATGGATGAACCTGCAGCCTCTCCATTGCAACCCCTGGCCCTCAACCCTGAGGTGACTCACCACTTTGAGCCTTTTGTTCATGGCGTCCTCTCTGATTAGAAGGCCCTCTCTCCCAATTCTACCTGCCCACACTACAACTCACCCTTCAAAGCCAAATCTCAACGCTATCTCTGCCATGTAGGTTTCTAAATCACATCTATTGCTGCTTCCTGGGCCCTCTTGGACCCCTGGGTCTATGGATTTTATTGTATATGCTGGTGATCTGAAACCATCTAGCTGTTAATCCCAGCTCCATCTCTTCCCGAGGCAACCTCAGTTTTCTCTTCTGAAAAAGGAGAGAGCAATAACAGCCTCAATGGGCTGATAGAAGATGCCAATGAAACAATACCTGCAACCCATTTGCTATAAAATGTGTCCCCAGAGTTCAGGAAATGCTACTTATCATCATTTTCATTGTCTCTGGAAAGCGGGGGTATGGTATGGTTAAGAGTGTGGACTTGGGAATCAGTTGCAAGCCTAACTATGTGAGCTTTGGCCAGTCACTTCCTCTCAGAGGCTCACTTTCCTCGTCTAAAATGAAGTGATAATAGTTTTCCCATCCCCATCACAGGACCTGTTGTGCCGGTTCAAAGATGTAGTATCCACAAAGTAAACCACTTCAGATTGGACCCATCACATAAAAGTAGGTCATTCGAGTATATACACCTTCACAATCTAGAAAACTTTAAGGACACACACACACACACACACACACACTGTTTTGCTTATCTTTGCATCTCTCACCGTCTTGCCTAGCCCCAAACCTCTACAATGGGAAGTCCTACAATAAATCATTGCTGAATGGAATTGAAAACCCAAAGCAGATGTGTCTCCTCCCCTGTCAAATGAAGCCTTCAAGCTGATAGACTGGGTCTGCGGCCCTTTCACTCTCTGTTCCTTGGAGCTGAGCAACCACCATTGCCTAGGCCTGGCTCTGAGGAATGTTGCAGTGCAGATGGGAGGAAACAGGGAAGGAAAATCGAGACAAGTGGGTTAGAGAAGAGTACTCTGCTTGCTTCCAGTGAGCTCAAGCAAATTGCCTTCAAAGGGCACTAATCCGAAGTGTCTGATGAATGCAGAGATTATACACTAGTCAGTTACATAGTACCTCCTTGCAGAAGAAATCTGCCTCTCCCCAAAATACTGAAAATCAGAAGTGCAGTCAAGGGAGACATCAGGAGAAAGCTCCCTTCTTCATCAGAGATGATGACACATTTCTAAAATAGTGAGACTGGGATTCAAAGCCAAGCTCAGTTGTCTCTACAGGTAAGCTTTAATCACTTAGCAACCCTGTGTCTCAGCCAGTCTTGTTACAGAGTGACAGGAGTGTGCATTTACTGCATCCGGCTCCCCACACTGCAAGGCCCCTGGGGGCAGAATATAGGGCCTTAATGGGGGAAAGCACTCCGAAAGTACAAGTCTGTTTTAAAACTACAAAAAGAAGCCCATGTCTTTAGGGTTTCTGAGCCAGAGCGCTGTCATCAGAGGATGGGGTTAGGCAGTATACTATCCAGCACAGGGCTACGGTTAAGACCAGACTCCAGAATATGGCTGCATGTTTTTTAACTCTGGCTTTGTCACACACTAGTCTGCTGATCCCAGAAAAATAACTTCCCTTTCTTTCTGTGATCTCGTCTGTCACATGGTATTAATAAGAGTACCTTCTCACGGTGTTATCTATAGAGATTAAACGAGCTAGTGTTTATAAAGCACTTACCATGTGCCTGGCATATAGTAAACACTGAACAACTGTTTGTTAAATAAGATAAATGCATACCTCTGTCGCGCTGTAGCCAGACTAGCCTAGAGACAGGGTTACAGGGTGGTTAAAACTTGCCAGTGGAGCCACATGAGCATATCTTTGAATCCTGGTCTTAGGAGTTTAGAGCAAACCTCTCTGGGCCTCAGATTAACCATCTCTAATATGGTGATAGTAACAATCCCTTATCTGATGGGTGTTGCAAGTTTTAAAGAGATATCTCCAAAGTCCTGATCACAGTACCTAACATGCCAGAGGGAGTAAGCACCCAATGCACCCAAAGCAGAGTATTCATCAGCTGAATCTTAGAGAACACTGGCTCCCATTTTGTGCTTCTTCAGTGTTAACACATGATATGCAATTTTGGAAATCCTGTCATAGTACAAGAAAAATTTCATCATTTTGCCAATGAAATTCCTAAACATCTTTTTCAAGAGCCAGAAAAGGGCAACTTTTTGGTCATTTCTGAACAACTAAGCATGGGCAATCGATTTCCCCACTCAGTGAAACTACTACTCCACCCTTCAAAACAGCAAAACTAACTTTACAGGACAAAATAGAAGGAATGAGTATTCTTCTGAAAACAAAAGTCATCTTTGTTTACTGCACGACTTTGGCAGGAAAAAAAATACCTCAACCTAGGAGCTTGGAAAATTCTTGAAAGTTCTCATTTTATTCCAGCAAATCCAACAGAATTGGCAGGACTCCTGGTCATGTAAACCTGAGTCAGAATGAGTTTCCTCTACCCACTTGCCTCATTGTAGCACCAAGAACCCAGGAAGGTACACGGGGGCAGAGCATCAATATGTATCGGTTGCCAGTTTCTCTATGAGAGCCCCATACTCCACTTCTACCATGTGTAATACTTTGTCAAAACACTAAAGAATATTTGAAAATAGACAAAGAAAAGCACCCATCAATTTGCCACTTTAACACAACTCTTAATTTTGTATAGTGTGTTCTCTTCCAGTCTTTATCCATATGCAGAAATATCCATATTTCTACAGCTGTGTAGTCATAGGGCAAAACTGCAGCAGCGCCAGCTAAGAACAAGATACCAGACAGCTCGTGTCACTCAACTTTCCAAGTAAGGGGTTTTTTCTTCCCTCATTCCTTCTTTAGTGAGTCAGTTGGCCATTCAACAAACATGAGTTTAACCAGCTTTTTTGTGCTATGCTCTGAAGAGCATATGGGTGACAGAGATACAGGTGAGATAAAGGTGTTGTACCCACCCTCGCATAGCTCCTAGTTTAGTTAAAAACAAAAGACAAGTCAGGGGGAAATTATGGTACACTGGGATGAATGCACAGCAAATGCTAGCACAGTGCAGAAGATGAGCATTTTAGGAAGACAGAAAAGAGGTGTGAGGATGGAGGAGACCAGCCACAATGTATACAAAGGCATGAAGTCAGAAAAATGCAAAGTATTATCAGATAGCCAAAAATAGCTCTGTGTGACTGGATCACAGGCAGGTGGCAGTAGATGCGTTAGGAAAAGAAAGAAGACAAATTGTCAAGACGCAAGGTTTTGGTTTCATTGTGAAGACTGGGGGAAGTTTTGTAAGAATTTTAAACAAGGTAGCAGCACAAACAGATGTTCATTTTAGGAAGATTGCCCCGGCAACAGAATAAAAGACAGATTGGTAGGCAGGAGATAGGTAACAGGGGGAACATTTAACAGCCCACCCCCATCACAGTTATCCATCAAGATAGGAGGAAAGGGCTAAACAAAAGAGAGAGATTCTCCACTTACAAACTGTATCACCTTAGTAAGTGATGACTTCGCGGGGCCTCAGCCTTCTCCTCTGTACAGCAAGAATAACAGCATATCCCTTACAGAGCTGTGGGGAGGATTAAGTGAGATGCTTCACACAAAGCACCTGGCACAGTGGCTGGTACCCAGCACACTCGGCACATGTTACTTCCTCTTCCTATTCATCCCCTGTCCTCCACCTCACCCTTCTGATATGGATTGTGGAAGTGGCCGATGCAGGATTCTGACCAAACAGCCTGACACCAGAGAACAGCAGAGAAAAGTTTGAAAGTATTGCTGTCAGGACATTTACTTAGGAGAATTGTTTACCTGAGTTGAGGGCCCCACCGAGGTTGGAAACTATGACTTTCTACTGGGACGAAACAACAAAAAGATGGGATTGTCTCCAGCAGTGTCCCTCAATCTGGGTGTAAATGCAGAGGAGGAGACTCACAGTTAAAATTAATCAAGACTTGGGATTTTGCCTCATGGCTGTGGCAAGGGAGTTGGGGATATAGTCAAGATCCTGAAATCTATGTTCCTTGAGTAAGGCAAGCAGACCTAGCTTCAAATGTCATCTCTGCCCTGTACTAGCTGTGAGACTTTGAGTAAGTCGTCAACCTCTCTGAGCCCCAATTATCTTATTAAAAAAGACAATAGTAGCTGTCTAATAAAGTTATTATGAGGACGATAGGAGATTATTGAAATTATGTAAGATGTGCCTGGCACATACATATTTACTGTTATTCTTATCATGATCATTTCATGGGATTTGAATAGGAAAGAGGGAAGGTGGGAGAGGCTGATGGGAAAGGAGAGTGGATGGAGGGGGCTCAAAAGCTTGGCAATCGTCCTGAGGCAAATGGAGGAGCTTTGAGTTCAGCCAGCGAGATGGGGGGGTGATGGAGGGGGGCTTCAGACTGACGATGAAGCATGGCAAGGTTAGGATGGGGGTGTGTCCTACACATGGATCATGGATGTCCAACTCACCCAGAATGATGTCAGGACTTGGGGTAGAGAAGAAGACAGTGAGCCAGATGCTGAACCCTTCGTTGAATGTGGGGGTGAGGAATGAACAAAAAGGAAGAGTCGACGAGGAGAGAAGAGAAGAGGTCGCTGTAGCCAGGTGGCATGGGAAAGAGGAGTTCTTGACTGAGGATGGAGGATTAATAGTCTGGAAGCTGACAGGGGAAGCTAGAGCATAGACCCCACCTCCCAGCACCAGGGTGCCAGTGGCGTGGGAGTGTGGACAGTGTCCACTAGAGGGCGCTGCCGGCAAAGCCGTGAACTCCTCTGTGGCCACTCAGGTTTCAGCACTTCAGGCAGGAAGTAGACAGACATCAGTGTTCTGTGAAGTTTATCCAGGCAGTAGAGAGGGGACTGTTTACTAGGGAACAAGCTTGCAGAGGACACTGAGAGGAGTGGGAGAGGCCAGTGGTGGGGAGATGAATGAGCTGAGAGGAGCGCGGGACTCAAAGAGTAGTATGGGAACTATATGGGAAAGGACACACGAAGGGCAGGAAGGCTTAACAGCTTGGGTAGTGGCCAAGGACAGGGGGATGTGAGGCCTGGTGGGATTAACTGTCCTCACGGTTATAAATGGAGCTTTCTTTCTTCTTTACATCTTTTGTTTATTATAAACCTAACACATGCTTGTTTCAAACTAATCATGACTGAAGTGAAAAATCTACCTCCCCTATCCTGTTCCCCAGAAGCAAGCACGGTTGGCTGTTCTTCCAGCCTTTATTCGCTATGTGTGATATGTAATACTCTTAACAAAAGTCAGATCCTACTGTACTTGCTTTTCTGTGATGACTTTGATCACAGCACTGTATTGGAGATATCATTTCATTAACTGTATATAAAGATCTAGCTTGTCTATATTGGTGGCTGCGTTGTCATTATCATTATAGTAGTAATAGTAGAAATGGGTTGCTGTTATCAAATGCTCCGTGACAGGTATGAGCTAAGCATTTAATGTGAATTATGTCATTTACTTTCACAACTCTATGAAGGAGATTGTGTTAATTTCCCCATTTTACAGACAAGAAAATTAAGGCACAGACAGAGCTTTAGAAACTTTGGTCAGGATAGCATAGCTCACAAGGGCTAGAGGAGAAAGCCAAACCTAGGCAGCCTGGACACAATGGCCAAATTCTTAACTGTTAGCATAAGAAAGCTTGGTATGTTGTTGTATGGATATACTGTAAACAAATCAACTATATCTTCAGGAAGGCATTTTAGTTATTACAATGTGTTGCTGTTTATAAATAATGTTTAAATGGGTGTCGTTATGCATGGAGCATTGCTAAGGATTAGGCTCTTAGAAAGGACTTGCTGGGTCAGATGATGTTTCTACTTCTCCAGAAGTCCTGCTCAGGCAGATGTGCATCAAGAATGAATAAAGGCAAGGTCAGTGTTGATGAGCAGGAGGACGAGAAGGGACATTAAGAGAAAGAAGCACAAATAGGAAATGTTCATAATACATGGTGTTATACTAAGGAATTCTGACAATCCTGTCTCAAAAGTAACATCTGTGTATTAATAGATTTTGTTTACAATGCTTTGCTTTGATAACGATAATCAATAATGGCAGGTTTACTTGTGTGCTTTGTGAAAAATGAAAGTACATGCCTGTTTCTACCACTTTCTCACAAGCCTTAGGTTTTAGCAACCTTTTTAATTTTGCCTGTCTGAAGTGCAAAATGACATCTCAATAACCTCGATGCTGCCTTAATTTGCATTTCTTCATTATTACTGCTCTGTGCAACATTTTATATGGCATAAGCCTTTCTCCATGAATTGTCTGTTATTCTCTGAGCACTCTTCTAGTGAATCAATAGCTCTCATCTCACTGATCTATATAAACTTACTCGTTCATTTCCTCACAAACATTTTTTGAGCATTTAGTGTGTGCAGGTGCTGTCTTAACACTAATTATGCAGTGGTGAATAAGCAAAGCCTCAATATTTATGAAGTGGACATACAAGTGGAGGACAGATAATAAACAAACAGCTAAATAATGTAATTGCAGATAACGGCAAATGCTTTAAAGAAAACAATACACTTCTTAGAAATGAGCTCTCAGAATGTTATGAAGAATATAAACAGTTCCTGATTTACAAGTTTCTACTGTAATTTTCAACTTTGCCATAGTGCAAAGGCAACATTCTGTCAGTAACCACCTAGAAACCATACTTAAAGCTTTGAATTTGGATCTTTTCCCACACTGATGATATGCAGTCAGATACTCTGTCATGAGACTGGGTGGCAGCAGCAAATTGCAGATCCCGGTCACCTATATGGCCACAGAGGAAACAACTGACACCACAGTAGGCTGTGTTGCTAAGCGATGATGCTCAGTAGGTTGGGAGTATCCAGTATTTTCAATTTGCCGGCATTTCCACTTTATGGTGAACACATAGAGATGTAACCCATCACAAGTCATTGGACCCTCATAAACCCTTTTCTGCCTTCTGTGTTGTGACTTCATCCTGGCTTATCCATCATATTTTTAACTTGGCCTGAGATATGCTTGCCATACAAAGGTGGTAAATTTTTTACGTGGTCATTGTTTTGCAAGGACTTTCCACCTCAGTACTTGGAAATAATTTCCTATGCTTTGTTCTGCTCTTTTAATGATTTCTCTTTTTAACATCTGAATCTTTGATTTGCTGGAATATATTTTCGAACAAGGAATGAGGTAGAGATTCAGCTTTATTTTTCTGATTGCAGACTGGCTGTCACAGTAAATGAAACCGTGTATTAAGTGATGCATCTCTTCCCACAGAAATGATAAAGTGAAGGCCCAAACAAGGGAGGACCCTTGCTCAGGGTCACATAGCAAATTAATGGTGACCTGCCTGTTCCTAGATCCTGGGGCTGCTTACCATCATGGCGTGATGCACAGCTGGCCTTGTCACAGTTCCATCCCTTGGTGCACTGAAACTGCCCTCACCCATGCTGAGGTCCACGGAGTGCAGCTACAGCATCTGCCCTTTCCAAGAAGCCCCCAACCTTTCTTGTTCACAAATACTATAGAAATCCTGATACTGGTAAATAACCAGATACCTACTAAGGTCTGCTAAAATACATCATTTTGAGGCAGCTTTGACCACGTGAGCTGGGGTCAGAGAGCAGATAGATTTGCCATTTAGGAAGAGAAACAGAAAGAGTCTATTCTAAATAAAGAAATTTGGCATTTATTTCATTCAGTTGCTGACAGGGTAGCTGCCATCCTGAATGCCTTCTAAGTGGGCTGCCTCAAATTTTGCCAAAGCAATATGCTGGTGGTTTGGAAGCTGCAGGGACTTGTCCCTAGGCCCTAGCTAGAACAAGCCTAGGTTCCAAAAGGTCATCCTGAAAAAGCAGGTGATTAAACCACCTCCAAGGCAAACTGGCTAAACATTCCATTTCCATTGGTGTTTTCTGTGCCTTGTGGCCCCTCTGTCTCTACATTTCCTGAGACTGTGGACCTTTTCACAGCCCTCTGACACAGGCACCCAGGAGGAGGTCTCCAGCAAAAAGGAAACTGAAGTGCAAGTGGAAGTCCCTGGGCTACTTCAGACATCATTTTTAAGCTTATATTTTCCTTCAGTTACCAGGAGATTTTCAGTCAAACTGTTCCAGCAAAATAGGTGAATAATTGCCTCATTATTTTGCTTAGTTTTCTATGGAAAGACACAGCCAAAGATATTGGCGAGTGCTTCTTGTACTATTAACCATGATGGACATTTTGTTCTTCTTTCCAAACCCTGAAGTAAATGTACTGCTTGTAATAAGGTAAAATAACCTTTAGCATGCCCCTCTGTTCCATGTATCCAGGCAGAGTGGGCAGCAGCCTCTGCACTGAAATTTAAAGCTCTTCCTCCCATGCTAATGATGTCAGGTTGATCCACCAGCAAAACGGGGAAAGAGACCTGGATTCTAGTTCCAGGACAGGATACACACATTACTGACAGAGAAGGGGGTTTGGGGGAGTGAAAAACAGCAGTGGGGACAATGCAGGTGCGGGACTAACTCTGTCTGAAGGCCAAGGCAGACTGAGAGCCTTTTGGGATTCTGGGGGATGTTGACCTGTTGAATGTAGGAACAGTACTAAAGCTACATTTGCCTGGTGTCTTCTCTGACTTGGCCCAAACAAAACAGTGCAAAGAGATACGGCCAAGCTACAGAACAGCCATTCTTTTAGGTAGCAAGATCTTAGGACTCCTCAGGTTGATACCAGCATGTGAGCATGTGAACTTGTCTCTCTCAACTACTGGAATCATCTGACCTCAGTCCCTTGATCCCAGCATGCCTTGAGACAACAGGAACTGTAAGAAACTGTGGGCCTTGACATCAGGACGTTCTAGCTTTTGTGCAAGTTAGTTTTGTGTGAACTAGGCCCTCTCTACTGATAACAGTTCCCAGGGATGGAACTGTGACAGGTCCAGTTAGTTATGTATCATGGCCACGAGCCAGCAACCCCAGAACCTAGAAACATTCAGGTTACCACACTAATTTGCTATGTGACCCTGGGTGAGCCTCTTTCCTTGTCTGGGCCTTCACTTCTGCTCTCTTTTGGTGATCAGGAGCCTCCATCTGCCAGTTTTATAGGCCCCTACTATGATGACCTAGATCCTTCACTGTGGTTCTGTGCTTGAGTCCACATTTATTATTCATCATTCATTCACCCACTGTTTACTATGCACCTCCTCTGGCCCAGCACTCAGTTAATTAGGCCAAATGGAAGCAATGAAGACATGACCCTGGCCCGAGAAAGCATAGTAGTTGCCACCTTATCAGACTCACTACCCCTTTTTGAAATAAATCTAATTTTGTTTCACTCCTTTACTAACCTAAAATTAAATTTATAGATGTTATAACCTACTTACATGGATAAATTCAAAAAGATAGATAAATACCCTGCCAAATAAAAAATGAAAGTAATCCATAAAAACCACCACGAATTTAACTGTGTAAATGCTCACATAGTGCTCTAGAGAAACACTGAATGAAGCATGCAGAACCATGTGCTTTTATATGGAATCCCCATTAGTGCAGAAGCTATAAACACACACTGATACAGGGGTGTTGTCTTGACTCCTCTAATTCCACAAGCAGCACCACAATTGTTAATGTGATTTTCTGAAATAGTAGCTGCATCTAGGTAACCTGGGAAAACAGTTTCA